CCATTTTCTTTCCAACTTATTTCAAATTCTTTTGATAGGTTTTTCTGATTTTTAAGTTATTTTCAGCGTTTTTTAGCATTCTTTTTAGCTTTTTCCTCATTCAATCCTTTGCAGAATTAAAAAAAGGCTAATCGTAAAAATGTAGAAACATCTAAACCTCTATTGATAGTTTCAATGAGATTTGTGAAGCCTCAGACAATTTCATTGATGCTGCCATTATAGAGTTATGATCTAGAAAATCAGGTGACGATCGAGTCATTAGTGCGTTTCAGTGGCATCACAAGTCAAGTCAAAATTATGCAATTTTAATTAAATTTTTTAGAAAATATAGCTTTTCAGTTCCTCAAAAACATAGGTTTTTAACGTTATTACATCATATAAATTACTTGAAATGTCACTTTGATTCGCTAATGAAGCACGGTGCAGGACTTAATCAAACAAATGAAAAAATTAAGTGGGCTTTAACTGATTCGGCTTTTAATAATCGACAACAAATTGGTACAGTCATTAATTTAAATCACTTAGATGTTAATGAATTCTTAGATGATGCCTTTGTTCCTTTTGAAAATCATGTTAGAACTTGCAGAGACAGGTTCAGTCCGTTGAAAGTATATATAGTATTCAATGCAAAATATAAAATGCTTTTACCTGACGGTACTACAGAATTCGATATAAAATATTTCATTAACAAGTCAGAGTCAATTTTCCCTTTAACTGAGTTACGCTATTGGTATAATGATTATGTAAAGTCAATATTAACAAATTAACAATATTATTGGCATTGTATGAAGCTTCGTCAAATCCATCTCGTTTGCAAAACTATGAAAATATTCAACATCATTTAAATTTTACAATTATATCCCCCGTAGCACTCAATAACGTTGCAAGATTTGAAGTGCTTAACAATATTTCAGTAAACGTTTATTGTCTTGTTAAACAAAAGGGGAAATTCATAGTCTCGCCAATACACCTAACCTCGCAGAAACGGTCCAAACATGTTAATCTTTTACGTGTTGATGATCACTACATTGATGAGGATGATGATAAAGAAGAAAAAGAATTTCCAACAAATACCACTATGTTTGAATAAAATCTTTATCCCGTCTTATAAATAACCAAGTTTCATCAAATGGGCATGCGTTATTTCTTTGCGATCGTTGCGTTCACTATTTCATAATTGTTCTTTTAGCGAATTTCCATTTATCCAAATATTTACTTAAAAGTATTTTTATTAACAGAATTTTCAATTTAAAAATTTTCTGTATAAAAAAATTCCTGTTTAACAAAACTATTATTGAATAAAATTTCTTTTTGATTTAATTTTTATTTAACAGAATTGTCATTTATCAGAAATTCTACTTAGCTACATTTTTAAGAGAGACAATTTTTATTTCGGTTGGCTCAGCGAGAGCTCAATTTAACTTGTCGGTCGGACAAATAGTGATGTCTTTTTTGAAGTATTCAAAAATGGTAGTGTGGAGTATTTTATTTTTCGAAATATTGCGATAATGAACGAAATTTAACGAAGTTACAATCATTGAAAAACTATACTAAAATTACTCTTAATAAACTAAATGAGTTCAAAATTCATACTATAATGGGCAAATCCACAGAACCGACACTGTAAAAAGAAAGTACTAAAATAGTACCGATTTTAGGTATTAAAATAGAACCAAAAGACAATTTAGTACCTAAAGTCGGTATTAAATTAATACCTTTCGTTTTACAGTGGACTGATTTCATGTTACTCACATATTTTTCTATTTTAGAAGTATTATATTAATTATTTTCATACTTCAACCATTTTGTAATATCTCTGAGAACCTATTGAAATATGAAAATTGAATAAATGTGAACCTTCTAGTCTTTTATAAAAAATAAAATCGAATTAAGTAACTTAAAAAATGAAATTTACGGTGTTACTCCAGGTATAAATTTTAATTCTTATAGGTATAACTTGTTCGGCATAGATGCGAACAATTCCAAACTGTGGTGAATTATAGTTTACTTATTGAAGAATGTTTTGAAAGTAATTAAAAATATGTGCTCTTAAATAAAAAGAAATGATAGTCGTTGAAAGTAGCGTTACTCATTATTTTATAATAATAAAATGTCTATACATTTTTGTAAATATCTTTTGTGGCGATTATTCGATTTGAATTTTTCAAATTGGAGCTTATTGCTTGTGAACAGACGAACAAATGTATGTATCATAGAATAGAGTGCAATCAGAATTAAAGAAAATATTCCAATAATTATCACTCTATGTTTAAGCGTGAACCATTTTCAACTTAGCCTTTTTTCAGTAGCACAACTACAGGATAAAATATGATGAGTTGAAAACATGTGTGATTATATAAAGACATTATTATAATTCTTGTATGCAAACGCCAAATTATATTTTCAATTTATAACGTCTAAAAATTAAAAATAAAAAAAAATTTATCGAAATTTAACTAGTTAATCGTGAAAAATGAATCATCCTTTCATTTGTTTTATTTTCAAAGTTATATCAAAATCGATGTCAATAATGTCAGTTTGTTGGTTAAAATAGTTAATATCAAAATTAGCCCGTGTTCGTTTGGAATTCATTCCAAGTGGAGGGAGACAGTAGTTTGTACAAATTTGTGCGAATTTGCTTATCTCTTGGGGTTTTCTTTGCTGGTCCCCCATCGGGCGCGTCCCTAGGTGGTGGATAAGGGCACGCCTCCTAGATATAGGTGGTACCGGCGAAATGAAATAACCGGCGTGAACCAAAACCAGCATACACGGAGAACTTTCAAAAGAACAGAAAAGAAAGGAAAAGGGGTGAGATAGTGGACTGCTCGGGGACTGTTCCCCTCTGCGGCCGATCGGACTCTTGTCTGCTCTGCCGGCCCTTGCTCCTGCATCACGGAATAGGGGATGAGGATGGATCGCTTGGCTGTGCGGGTTAGAAACCTGGTGTCTTTGAAATATTAAAGACGCACGGTGCCCAAACGGAAAGCGATGACCAACGGACGGGCTTAAAACCCTGTCGCCTGAAGGTTCCAGCGACCCCACGAAGGAATGTCCGTTAAATCGGTCTTGCGGGATGGGGAAGCTGGTCATCCGATTCCACTGAAATGGATTGCAGGACTCTCGGGCTGGTTGAGCACCAGGTTTGCGTTCTGCGGCCGATGGGATCGGTTTCCCGGGTGGACCACTGTAAACCCCTTCGAGAAAGTTTCTCCACTAACACTTTCACATCTTTACACACGCATGTAAGTCACACACACCACATTACACTTACGGACCTCTGCGCACCCTGCCTCGCGGGGCAGTACATTGCGGAGGTCTTTCACACACATAAACCACACACTTACATGCTAGGGGAAGGAACCCCGATAAAAAATACAAAATTTAGAAAAAAAAAATGGAAAACAAAAAAAATGAAATAAATGTTACCCAGCAGGGGAAATCGGAAGCCCCAGTGGCGGCGCTGTCCCAGGGTGCGAAAGCAGGCCCTGGAGCGTCGAGATCCAATGACTGCAGTGGCTCATCGGTGGCTGACTTGGCCGATGAGCCATTAAATGCCTCAAGGCAGAAAAGAGAAGAAGAAAAGATGGAGACGGAGAGTGTAGAGCTCCCCGTCACCATCGTTGAAAATAAAAAAGAACCGGAGAACTTGGAGTTGCGGGCTGCTTCCCCGGAGGTCGAAGGATGGCGAGCTATCCTTGGATTTCTGGAGAAGCAGTCCGAGGTTGTTGAGCAACTCGTCCAAGCACTAAAAACAGTGCGGGACGGGATGCTCAAGAACAACTCCAAGGAGGTTAAAAATTGTGCCAAGGAGGCTTACCTCTATAGTGGGAGTCTTCGAGGCATAATAAAAGATGCAAAAGAGGAGGGAGAGAGCTTCCTACGAAAGATGGAGGAGGCTGACTCCCTCCCTCAAAAGAGAAATCGAAGTCACCAAAGGGTAAAGTCCCTGGCGACTCCGATTTCGGAAAAAAAAGGTAAAAAACGAGATGCCTCGAAGACTCCCCCTGAGCCAGGGGCATTGAAGAAGGGGAAAACAGGCGAGTTGGCCGAAAAGGAAAACCCGCCTGTTTTCGAAGTCAAAAAAACTAAAGGTACTTCTTCCCAGGTCGATTCTGAGACCTGGAAAGAAGTCAAAAAGAAAAAGAAAAAGAAGAAGAAGAAGAAAGAAAAAAAGGCCCCAGTAGAAGCCAGGGAGTCGTCAAGCGTTAAAGCGGGACGACCCCCAGGTAAGAGGTCTAGAGGGACGGAGGCCATCAGGGTATCCGCGAAGGACGGTCAGTCCTACGCGGATATCCTGAAGGATATGAAAGCGGGGGTCAGGCCCGAAGAGACGAAGACGGAGATTCTGTCAATTCGAAGAACCAGAAGGGATGAAATCCTTCTGGTTCTGAAGAAGGGTCAGGATCTCTCTGGTTTCAGAGGTGCCCTGGCCACCGCTCTCGAAGGAAAGGCGGAGGTGAAGACGCTGGTCTCGACGAGGTCAGTAGAAATACTTGACCTCGACGAGACCATCGTCGATACAGAAGTTGTTGAGGCAGTCCGGGTAACACTGGGCAAGCCAAACCTAGATGTGCCATGCCAAGTCTTCACTCGGTATGGTCATAACAAGATGGCGATTCTGCGACTCCCGGAAACGGACGCAGAATCCCTTCTTGGGACCGGAAGAGTGAAGATTGGCTGGGTCAATTGCAGAGTCCGTGCCAGGCTGGAAGTAGAGAGGTGCTATAGATGCCTCTGCTACGGCCACCTGGCCGGAGGATGCACTGGCCCAGACAGGAGGGCTGCTTGCTGGAGGTGTGGCAGTCCAGATCACCGGAAGACGGGATGCAAAGGCGATGCCAAATGCATCACGTGTTCCGACAGTGGGATGACGGATCTAAAACACCTTCCAGGAAGCAGGGCTTGTCCAGTTTACTGGAAGTTGCTCCAGGACCTAAAGTCCCGAGCTAAGGTTTCTCCAAGTTAACCTCAGGAAAGGAAGAGTCGCGCAAGATCTCTTGATGCAGACTGCCAGAGAGAGAGGAGCTGATGTGCTGCTTTTCAGTGAGCAGTACAAGAAGCCGGGATTCTCTGTCTGGTTTGAGGATGCATCAAGAAGATCAGGTATACAGGTGTGTAACCCGGACATCACCATTGGTGACTTCCTGGAGACAGATAAGGGGTTTGTTTGGGTAGAGGTGGCAGGTGTACGTATATACAGCTGCTACTTCTCCCCAAACGATCCCTTTAAAAAATTCGTTGCCGAGGTTCAAGCTCTTGAAGAAAGCGTTAGAGCTTTCGGCGGTGATGTCCTCATTGCGGGAGACTTCAATAGCAAGTCGCCGGAATGGGGAGAGAGCCGCTTAGACAGGAGAGGAACCTTGGTAGCGAATATGGTCGCAGCGAACGATCTAGTGGTGATGAACCGGGGTCGGAAGTTCACGTTCAGGCGCGGGGTAGCAGGGTCGATCATCGATTTGACAATCGCGTCGCCCCGCGTGGCTCGTAGAATAAGAGAGTGGAGTGTACTGGACGAGACGACCATGAGCGACCACCAGTACATTGAGTTTATAGTCTCTGAGAAAAATCTGGGAGGGAACAATAGACTGCAAGGTGGCAGCAAGAAGCCCTCCTGGAATCTCAGAAGACTAAATAGAGAGAGATTGGCGGAGTCTCTAGCCGAGTCTCGGTCTATTCAGGAACTCGGTTGGACGACGAAGCCAATCACTCTAGAAGAAAAAGTGCGTGAGGCGAGGCGAGTTATTATCGCGGCATGCAGGAACTCAATGCCTCGCCGGCAGAAAAGAAAAGCTAAAAAAGCTCTGTACTGGTGGAATGACGATCTAGCCCGCCTAAGAAGAGAATGCCATGCAGCGAGGAGGAAGTATACCCATTCTAAGGGAGACCTCCTGCTGCAAGAAGAGTGACATAAAGCCAGGCATATCTTCAAGCGGGCTATAAGGAGTAGCCAAAGAAAGTGTTGGAAGGACCTGATCGGAGAAGCGGAAAATGACCCATGGGGGTTGGCCTTTAGAGTAGTTTCTAAGAAATTAGTTTCGCGGCAAAAAACCCCCGGTCTGGACAATCCGATTTGGGTCCGAAAAATCATACGTGCTTTGTTCCCCCATGTGGAATCTGGCCCCCGAGAGGACTACACTCACTGTGTAGTACAGAGGGAAGAACTCTTCACACTTGAAGAGCTTAAAAAGGTGGCAAAGACGTTGAAAAATGGCAAAGCGCCAGGCAATGATGGAATACCCAACGAGATACTTAAAGAAGTTATCGCTGTGTATCCGGAGCTACTTCTCGACGTCTTTAATACATGTCTGGAGTGTGGAAGGTTTTTCAGTGACTGGAAAACACAGAAGTTGGTCCTCCTTAGGAAGGGGGATAAACCTCTAGATAAAGTCTCATCGTTTAGACCAATTTGTTTATTGGACACGATGGGTAAACTTCTAGAGGGAATGATTCTGGAGAGACTACAGAGAATCCTGGTAGGCGAAAGTAGCTTATCCGAAAACCAGTTTGGCTTTAGAAAGGGCCGGTCAACGGTAGACGCGATTTTAGCGGTTGTTGAAAAGGCAAATAAAGTCAAATCAGGGAAGAAGAAGGGATTTTGCGCACTCGTAGCCATAGACATACGGAACGCGTTCAATTCCGCGAGATGGGATATTAGTATCGAGGCGATGAAACGTAAAGGGGTGCCAACCTATCTGTTGCGAATGATAGATGACTATCTTAGCGACAGATGGGTTGTGTACGAGAGCGATGCATGTCATATCAAAGAAGAGATGACATGCGGAGCTCCCCAAGGATCGAAGGTAGGTCCAACCATATGGAACGTCATGTATGACGGTTTCCTTAGGTTGGACTTACCGGAAGATACGTTTCTAACCGGGTTCGCGGATGACGTGCTTTTAGTATGCTGTGCGGACGAGATAAATCTTTTACAGATAAAACTCGATGATAGTCTGCGACGAATAGGGTTTTGGTTGGACCGACATGCCCTGAAAATGACTGTCGAGAAAACCGAGGCTCTGCTCGTCACAGACCGAAGAGACTTCCGATTCCCGCGGTTGGAAATTGGAGGATCTGTAGTTTCATGGGGGACAAAATTGAAGTACCTGGGAGTGACGTTGGACAAACGTTTGAGTTTCGGACAACATATTAACATCTCGTCACTCCAAGCCACCGAATGCATGGGAAACCTTTCGAGGATGATGCCCAATATCGGTGGCCCCAGGGAAAAGAAACGTAGACTAGTGGCGACTGTGGTTCAATCAAAGCAGCTTTATGCTGCCCCTGTTTGGGCTTCGGCCCTAAAGTTCCACAGCATCTCTGACAGGCTCCTCGCGGTCCAGAGAGACCCGGCACGGAGAATTGTGTCAGCCTTCAGAACGGTGTCTACTTGCGCTGTTCTGGTACTCGCTGGATTACCGCCAATAGATTTATTGGCGATGGAAAGGAAGGAGATCTTCCATCTTAACAAAGATATGGCGGGTACTTCAGAGCATAGCGATAGACTCAAAGCGATAATACGCCGAGAGTCCAGAAGTAGACTCGTTCAGAAATGGCAGGAGAGATGGGATGGGGAATCTAAAGGTAGGTGGACCTACCGCCTGATTCCCCTCCTCGCCACATGGTTAGATAGGAAGCACGGTGAAGTTGGCTACTACCTTACACAAGCGTTGTCAGGTCATGGTTGTTTCGGACAGTATTTTTGTCGATTTAAAATAGAAGCAGAAGCGAGATGTGTGTATTGCAACGGTTCGGGCGTCGACGAAGCAATACACACTGACGACGCGGAGCACACGCTCTTTTTCTGCGGGCACTGGCGTGAACTTAGGTTAGCCATGTTCTCGGCTGTGGGCACTGAAGTCACACCCGAGAACATGGTTTCTATTATGTTGCAGAGCGCGGACTCTTGGAGGAGCGTCGAGTCCTTCATTACAACCGTAATGAGGACGAAGGAGGACGACAGGAGGAGGTTGACTTGGAGAAATCCTGCTGCTCGGCTGGGTGTGCGCGCGGGACGGGGGAGACCTTAACTGGCTCTCCTTCTTCTAGCGCTAGCACTCAGTTAAGGATTTAGGACTGAGAGCAAAGGTAAGGAGACTTCCACTGGCGATGTATAAAGCTAACAGCAGTTCCGCCAGTGGAGTTTAAGTCTCAAAAAGGGTGTGGTTTTTAGTGGGTCGACCAGAACAAGAGCGGTCATCCCCACATAACCTAGGAGTACGGGCTCCAGGTATCTGACTTGGAAGTAGGCCTCCAAGGTTATGCAGATTTTCCACTTCCCTCGTAAAATAAAAAAAAAAAAAAAAAAAAAAAAGTTAATATCAAAATTAGTAAGTAAACAATTTAATTTTACAGAAATAAAAAATTAAATGCTAATAAATAAAATATATAATAAAATATGATAAAATATAAATAATTTATTTTTGATAATTAAAAAATTAATTATTTCTATTTTATCATATTTTATTATTCAAAATGTTTTGCACATATTTCAAATAATATATAAAAAAACAAAGAAATGCCATTTTTAATTATAATTTCCAGAAGAAAAATAATATTTTCGTTTTTGGCTTTTAACTCAAACGGCATTAAAATAAAATGAATCACGCAAGAAGATAATTGTTCATGAATATATTTTAAAGAAAGTAAACCATAAATAAAGGGTGTGCTTGCTATTTGGAAAATTTTCATCTTGATAAGTAAAAATCGGCCGGTTCTGTGGATTTGCCCAAATACATATATAACGTGAATTGATTATTAAAATTGACAATTGAAAATATCAAAGTTTAACCATTCTTATCATCTCATCATTTTTAAGTGATCTCTTGTACGAGACAGCCACAGTTTTAACTGTGACCGTGCGTATTTTCCCATCTTGGCCAGGATGCGTAGCCACGATGTGACCTAGTTTCCAATTCATCGGAGCTAAATTATCTTCACTGATGAGAGATAGGGTTCCAGATTTGATGTTAATTTGACTAACATCTTTTTGCCATTTGCTTCTTGTAATCAGTTCGTTGACATATTCCTTATGCCACCGTGTCCAAAAGTGTTGACGCATTTGTTGTGCTAATTGACAGTAGTTTAGGCGATTAGCTGAGATGTTTTGCAAATCTTCTTGTGAAAGGCTTGTCATCGAAGTGCAAATTAAAAAGTGACCAGGAGTTAAAGGATGCAGGTCATTGGGATCAGAGGACAAAGGAGTGAGAGAACGAGAATTAAGGATCGCCTCTATTTGAACAACACATGTTTGTAGTTGCTCGTACGTCAATAAAGATGTACCTGAAATTCTGGTGAAATGGTATTTAAATAATTTGTCCGGTGCCTCACAAAGGCCCCCAAAATGAGATGCTTTAAAAGTTATAAAATTCTATTGAATTTTTTCTAGTGCTAAATATATACCTTAACTTCATTGTCATTTTCCTAAGTCTCGATTTGCTTGTACAATTCCTTTAATTCATTGTTTGCACCAAGAAAATTTTTTGCATTGTCAGACGACAAAGATGTAATTTTGTCTCTACGATTATTAAAATGACTTAAGCAAGCAATAAAGGCATCGGTAGTTAAATTACTAGCTAGTTCTAAATGAACTGCCTTTGTCGCAAAGCATACAAAAACTGCAACGTAAGTTTTTACTTTAGTAACATTTCGATGTCTGCGTTCCTTTATAAAAAATGGCCCACAATAATCAACTCCCAAATTATAAAAAGGTTTAATCAAGTCAGTTCGATTTTTTGAGAGATTAGCCATTAAATACTCAATTTCAGGTGGTTTAGCTCGAAAACATGTTATACATTTTTTTAATTCATGCCTAACTGTATTACGACTTTTGTGAGTTGACTAAAGGTTTTAATTGTTTTATCCGTTATTTTCGAATTGTTAATAAATCGCAGGCAATAAGAAATGACGTTAATTAGCCTTGTTAATTTACTATATTTTTCTAAAAGAGGTATTGGAATTTGACAGACGAGTAATGTAAGTATAGGTTGCACCTTACGCCTTTCTGGAGTTTTGCACAATTTGACTACGAGATTTGGCCAAAAGTGCGAATTTTGCTTGTGCCAATAAGTAGGACCTTCAAGCCAAAGTTAATTTTGCAAAAATATATTTGTTTTTTGACCACGTGAAAGCGCATCAGCAGGGTTATCTTGTGTGGGTACGTGACGCAATTGTGAAGGTTCAGAAAAAGAAAAAATGTCAGCGACTCTGTTGGCGACAAAGGTTTTTAATGGATCTGCAAAAGAGTTAATCCAATTTAAAACAATTGTTGAATCGGACCAAAAGAGTATTTTTCAAGCTGCAATTTAAGCGCTGGTAGAATGGAGTTTGTTAGTTCAATAAGCAACGCTGCGACATATAATTCTAACGGAGGTAATGTTTGTGTTTATAAAGGTGCTACTCTAGATTTCGAACAAATCAGGGCAGTAAAAGTTTCCCCTTTTTTATTTATTTATCTTAAATAGCAAAAAGCTCCGTAAGCTTTTTCACTTGAATCGCAAAAACCATGCAATTGAAGACAGGTTGCATTTGGAATTACGATGCATCCTTTGAAGTGAAAATCGTTAATTAATGCTAATTGATTTTTGTACTCATTCCATCTTTCTTGAACATCAAAAGAGACTGCATCGTCCCAAGACAATTTTGCCTTCCAAAGTTGTTGGATAATGATTTTGTTTTCACTGTAATTGGCCCTAATAACCCTAAAGGATGAAATAGTTTCGCGGTTTCAGTTAAAATAAAACGTTTGGAACATCGCGCTTTTGAATATGTTGATTTGACAGAATAACTAAATGAATCGGTCACTGGATCTTAATGAAGGCCTAAAATTTTTACTGTTTCCATTGGATCTAAACAAAGATTAGAATTGGAAACTTCAGACGAAAAGTCCTTCAACAATTCTGGACAATTT